ATATATATATGTAAGGAATTATTATTATCTCCAAAGCTGTATTAGTGTAATTTAGCTATCCAGGTTTGTATGACAATATGGCCCCGATATTAAAAATATTAGTCTAATCTACCAGCTACTTTAAACAGCTGAAACATAAAAAAATGGTTAAAAAAGTGATGCCTTTTGGCCTGTCTAACCTTTTTAATAATTAGTAGCTAATTGATCAGAGAATCTCATTCAGCCATTTCTTTAAAGAGGCCAGGCAAGAAGCTTGGACAATATGACTGTGTAGCTTGATCCATGTTGATTTTTCATTCGGCAGTATTCTAATTCTTTTTTTTTAAACTCTGTAGTCTGCCTCTGAGTGCTTTGAAATTGACTTATCATCCACAGGCTTTGCTTTTTATTTTTAAGTCGGGAATCGGTACAAAAGACAATAGCCTCATTAACGGATTTCTTTTTAAATTTGCTGAAGTCCTGTTGATCTCATACTTCATCTCTGTAGCCCTCTTTTCACTGCTTCTAGTTAACTCGATTACCATTTAAATGCTGATTCACTGCATCCGTGAATCACCTGGGTGCTGTGATAATGTCCGAGATGGACATGCAGAATGACATACTCTATAGCTCAAGCAGGAAAAGGCCTGTAAGCCAGCTGTCCTCATACAACACAAATGTGTAGCCAGCAGGTGCAAATGAAACGTCTCTTTAAAGACTACGCTCTGTGTCAGCATGGGTTTCGTCTGTGGCAGATGGTTTGCTGCAGCAGTAAATCTGGTGATGAGGCTGCGAGATGAATAGGGGCCAATCTAGTTTATTTTGTACCCTGAAGGGGTCGGAACTGCAGGTTGGAGGACTTCATTTGCAAATTTCACATTTATTTAGCACTTGCTAGACTAGCTGGAGCAGTCACTAACTGTTCAGAATGTCCTTCTTTTAGAACAGTAGATGAATCCATTATGCTTCCATGTTGGATATTCCTTACATCAAAGAGACAAACACATTTTGAAATGAGACTACACAGTACAGGGAAGGGCTCAGGAAAGAGCAGCAATAATGCTATAAGAGCCATATTCAGGTTAAAATATTTAAATGTCCTGAAAAAATAAGTTCTTGTCATTTATCATAAATGATTTATTTAATGCAAACTTCAACGAACACTTGGTACTTCAGATTGGGTTTTTATTGACTGAAGCAGTCTAATGAAAAAAAAATGTATTCAAGTGGTTTTACAAATGGTGATTTGTTTTTGGATCAAAATTCTGATTTATTCTAGGCCAAAGAGAATGAAAGCATAACTCAACAATGAAAGAAGAAGCAAAGGACACACATAGTAAGTGTGCACATTTATTTAGGGCAGAAAATAGGAGGCACTTGCTTCAGGTGATTTTAGTTTTTGACTTTTACTTAAAAGGAGTGTGAAGCTACCTTCAAATCTTAAGATAATGGTCTTAAAATTAATTTAATTATTAAATTTAATTAAAATGTATAAGGTTATAAAAACACACCATAGTTGTGTCTACCAGCCTTACACAATGAGAAAATATGAAGTTATGTCCCAGTTAAACACATTATAGCCATTTTCCACTTTGTTATTAATCCTGGGAAGTATCCAATGATTTCAGTCCAAAATGATCTACTGTTACACAAGATAGCAGTCCCTGCACAAAAGTAAAGCAATGAAATTGTAGTAATAACACTAATGAATAAATGTCATAGTTTGTACAGTAACTGGTACTATGTCTGTAAAAGACAGTTTTAACACCTTGTGCACTTGTCATTAGTGGACTAAAGCAGGTGACAGAATTTGGAGTTTATGGCTTCATTAGAAAGGTCACCACCAGGTGGCAGTGTTGTCCCCTGGCTCTTTTCCTGCACAGCAGCCCCTAGTCTCCTGCTTTCAGCCTCCATGGTGTCATCTTGGGGAGAAAATAAAACGTTGAAAAAACATTCATATTTCTCAATTCATTGTGCTGGGGCTCATCAGAGCCGACACTATTTTTTTACTATACGATAAGAGCTTTTTGTTTTCTTTGTAGGTATAAATAATTCGTAACTTTTACTTAACTTTGCTTCTTTTTCCTCTGATTTGCCCCCATATTTTACATTGAGACAATAGTTATCTCTCGTCCTTTTGAGTAACTAAAGACTTGGCAGTTACTCTTCAGTTATATCTGAATATTTGTATATGGTTACAAAAAAACTAAGCTCTATACTTAAAAGAGTTGTGTTAGCTCTGTCATTTGTTTAGCTCAATGTTATCTTCTTGAACGATCATACCTGAGTGACAAATGTGTTTAAGGACATTGGTAGCTTACATATTTCAGAAAAAAAATATCCAAATGTATTCCCAGACATAACTAGTTAAGTAGCATAAATTGCATAATTCATTTTAATATACCTGAATTAATTTTAGTTCTGTCAAATTCACTTTTTTTATTTTACTAGTCAAGATTTAACCACTGAGTTTTCCCACTTGTGCCTACCATCTCCGCCGTCTACTGTCTCTTCTTTATCTTCCACAGACAGCAGTGGCTCTTTCAACTCTCTGCCCATTATCTCGTCCTCAGAGGCTTGTAAGTTCTTGAGAAGAAAGAAGGTAGACATCCTTCCCTTGCCTTTCACCTCAATTTCACCCCGTTCACTGATCTCAAAGCCTTTGTTTTCCAGGGCTCTGTAGAAAGATTGGGTAATATAAAATGCAATATTTTATTTACACTGTGGACGAAATAGGTCATAATTATAATGCTACTGTTCGTCAGTTTGATTTCCTCCCTTTTTCTTTTTGGTGCAGACACTGAAACTGAGATTAAATTAAAGAGCGATAAACCACCGATTTCAAGTCCCAGTTGTCGGTGAGATTACAGAGGTTTGTTAAAACACCTCAGGGTAACTCATCGACATTAAAATGGTGTGACTGCATTTTGGTCCAAAACCTTAAATTGTCCATCAAGGTACTCTAATGAAAATAGTAAAATGATCAAATGCAGATATCTAAATGTAATGTATCTCTACAAAAAGGCAGTTGACTATGACAGTTCTTGAAATGATACTATACTTGGTCCAGACTAAGATGCAGGATAGCCCAGTAATTCAAGTGATTTGGTGGTTAATTATAATGGGTCTCCATCAGTTGAAAGACAAAAATGCAGAGTACAGCATCCTGTAGTCTGCAGGTTCAGATCCAGACTGTAACACTGTGTGTTAATGGTTATATTAAGACACTGACTGATCCTGCCATTAATCAGTTAAATTAAGGAGTTGGTGGTTTCAAGTTAAGTTCTGTGTTAATTGTTATATTAAGGCAGGGATTGATCCTGCTAATTTTCAAATAAATTAAGGAGCTGGTGGTATTAACACTAATTAACACTAAGTGCAAAATGATAGTTTTGACCTTATTGCATGTGTGTTACATGGGGTTGGGGGAGTGGGGTGGCCACTAGAGGTATGTGAACACTAATAAATAACTGTATTGATGAGCAAGTTTCCTTGAATGATCCTGTTGCTTTTATACTGTATATGAACGTTAATCTGACAGTACCAAGGTAAGATTTTAAGCGTTGTGCACCTGTACGAAGTGGGGCTGAGATGGATGTGGTTGGGCACTCCATGACTCTCCATCCTGGAAGCAGTGTTGACCGTGTCTCCAAACAGGCAGTACCTGGGCATCTTCTCTCCTACTACCCCTGCCAGCACTGGTCCAGTGTGAATACCTACCCTGATCTGGGAGATTCACAATAACTTCCTGCTTAACATTGTGAACACATAAAAAACACCTGCACATGGGCCTAAGGAATTAGGGGTTTTACAAATGGTGATTTGTATGTGGATCAAAATTCTGATTTATTCTAGGCCAAAGAGAATGAAAGCATAACTCAACAATGAAAGAAGAAGCAAAGGACACACATAGTAAGTGTGCACATTTATTTAGGGCAGAAAACAGGAGACACTTGCTTCAGGTGATTTTAGTTTTTGACTTTTACATAAAAGGAGTGTGAAGCTACCTTCAAATCTTAAGATAATGGTCTTAAAATTAATTTAATTATTAAATTTAATTAAAATGTATAAGGTTATAAAAACACACCATAGTTGTGTCTACCAGTCTTACACAATGAGAAAATATGAAGTTATGTCCCAGTTAAACACATTATAGCTGTTTTCCACTTTGTTATTAATCCTGGGAAGTATCCAATAATTTCAGGATTTCAGTCCAAAATGATCTACTGTTACACAAGATAGCAGTATTATGGCTACCCCTGCCAGCACTGGTCCAGTGTGAATACCTACTCTGATCTGGGAGATTCACAATAACTTCCTGCTTAACATTGTGAACACATAAAAACCACCTGCACATGGGCCTAAGGAATAAAGGATAAACTAAAAAGAGGAATCCATGACATATGACAGAATTCTTCCATTCTCTCATTTTGTACCTTGCATATATCAAAACTAGAACTATAGTTTAATTTAAGTCTTGGTGTTTTCCTTTTTCAAAAAAACTGTACGTTTCCTGGAAAGTCCTTGTTTCATTCTATACCTAAATAGATTTCAGATATTTATTGTAAGGGCAGCGGGTGGGTGTAGTGGTCAGCATTCCTGCCTTGTGGAGCTGGGACTCTGGGTTCAATTCCAGACCTGGGGTGCTGTCTGTGTGGAGTTTGTTAGTTCTCCCCGTGTTTGTGTGGGTTTCCTTCCACACTCAAAAGACATACTGGTAGGTTAATTGGCTAAATTGCCACGGTGTGAGTGCGTGAGGCCTTTTTCATGTCCCATTGGCCTTTACCAATAATGGTTTCCTAATAATCCCCATCTAACTGGCTTCATCGCTCTGTTCTCCCCACTGAGAGCTGATGTGTGGGGAGAGTACTGGTGCCCTATGGCTGCTGCCACATCATCCAGGTGGGGCTACACACTGGTGGTGGTGGAGGGGATCCCCATTACCTGTAAAGCGCTTTGAGTGGAGTGTCCAGAAAAGCGCTAATAAGTGTAAGGAGCTAATCATTATTATGTTGTTGTTCACAATGCCGTGCAGGCCTAAGAAGTCTTAAAAGACTGTGAATTGAGAAAAAGCATCACAGACTCAGACTGTTACCTGGATGGGATCACCTGTGATAGGATTTGTCACCTCCCTTGCAGCAATTCTCATTCCCAGGGCAAAGTTTGCCACTCGCTCTGCATGACTGTCGGCTGGGATGGGGACACCACCAACCACCATGTAGGCGTCCCCAATAGTTTCAACCTGGAGAAGATATACTTTCAGACAGATTACTTCAGTCTTCGGTCTGCTCTAGATTTTCCCATATTATTTGTGCTCTGGCTAACCAAGTCAGAAGCTGAATAGAGATCAATGGACAAACAAAAGTGCAGGTGAGCAGAAATATCTGTAATATAAGAGTGACAAAATGAGTTTTCTTTTCGCATATACTGTACTGTACAAACATCTGATACTTAGCAAACAGAATGTCTTGCTTCATTATCAGGCTTACAAAGTAGATGAAATAGCTAACCAGGCATAGCTAACCGTTTAAACATTAACCATTTAAACCGTTTAAACGGTTAATGCCTGGTTAATAATAATAATAATAATAATAATAATAATAATAATAATAATAATAATTATTATTATTATTATTATTATTATTATTATTATTATTAACCAGGCATTAACCGTTTAAACAGACCTGGATGTGCATCAGACAAAGTGTTTGGAATATGTAAGGAGACATCAGAAACGTTAAAAGAGCAGCCTACATTGCACAGTAGCCATACCTTGTACACGTCATGGATGCTGGTCAGTCGGTCGAATTTGGAGTACATGGAATTCAGCATGTTGACAATCTGGATCGGCTCACATGCTGCACATATGTAGGTAAATGTTACTACATCACTGAAGAGTATGGTGCACTCCTTGAACTCTCCTGGTAGAAGACAAAACCACACGTTAAAAAAATGCCACACATTGCAAGCAGGCTTCTTTAAAGGAACTGCTCTCTAACCTGGCACATTCAGACAATGTAATATTATCTTTGTAATTTTGTATTGTATTTATAATGTAATATATTACTCAATATATATATATAGTTTCTTCATGCAAAAGACATACTGTATGTTTTTTTGTTTAAAGTCACAAAAAGGACTCAGGACATGTAGAAAGAACAAAAACTAAACGCTGTGAGATATTGAATGTCACATCTCCAATTAACAAAAAACAACAACAACAACAACAACAACAACAACAACAACAACAACAACAACAACAACAATTTCATAGCTTCTTTTTCTGACCTTTCAACACAAAACTAGCTAAATAAAAATATTCGCACCATTAAACAAGAAAAAAAATTGGACAGGGACTTGAAAATACTGTTTCTCCTTTTTGTTAAGTCTTCTTTTTATCCCCATTACTTGTTTGTTATTTGACTGCACTTACAGTACTTGTCCTGTTCAACACAATGTTCCATGTCAGCCATATTAATCCTACTGAGGGCTTCACACAGAATCAAAAGGGAGGCACTTACAGTTTCCAAAATCAAAGAAGATAGAACAATAGACCTGGCTGAAGATAAATACAAATAAATACAAAACCTCCAATATTTTCATTTTCATTGCAGATTTGTACCCAAAGCATAATTGGAATACCATGAATGGCATTCTATAAACACTTTTTATATTTCATTGTTTCAGATGCAGAAGAAAGGTTTCCTTTGCCGGCACACAGAATTATATTCTAGGTAAACTCTGAAACCACCTCCATTGTGCACCTGAAAATCTTGGTGGCTCTGGGGGTTTGCGGAAGTTTTTGCCTAGTTGATTGCACGATATTTTGTTCAGCATAACAGCTGATCAATGCTTTTTTCAAATACGTATAAAGTACAGTAAATTCTTTACATGGGCTGAGCCATCCTGCCGAAATCCGGTTCTGAAATGCTGAAACACAGACTGTGTGAAGTCGGTACCTGCTTCCACCTTTTTTCCTTCCTTGAGCTGGTTGGCGACGTGCCTGGGAAGCATGGCATACAGCAGCGTCTCCGTCTTCTTCTTCTCCACCTCCAGGGTCCTGGAGAGGATGCGCAGCTCCTCCTTTTTGCGCTCCAGCTGGTTGGAGAGCTCGATCTCGGCCAGGCGCTGCTGGTTGAGCAGGATGAGGTCGCGCGTGGTGTCGTGCTGGGCGATGTCCGCGATGTGCATGCCCCTCTCCTCCAGCTCCTGAAGGCTGCGCAGCTTGGGAGAGCACAGGTACACCATGCAGCCCAAGGCGTCCATCCACAGCATCTGACCTGTGAGGTCAAGGACATACTGTACAGTACACAGGCTTCTGTCATCACTGGACTGGCAGTACAACTCTTGCCAGGAACCAATAAACTTTATTAAATGACTCCCATCCATGCTTTGGCTTTTTGGAGATCTGACAGAGCTACCTATCAACATTTAGAAAACGAACAGAAGCAATAAAGAGAATTACTCTACTGTGCAGTGCAGATAGTGCATCAAAGTGGTCATTACCAGTCATTATGACTTTGTGCCCGGCAGTAACAAAGCACAAGTGATACCTTTGGCGAAACTGGGGAGATCTTGTTGGGGCAGTACCTCTGAGCTTGAGCATAGGCTGATTCTTTGAAGATTCTGGCATCATTTCCCTGCGGGTCTTCAGGACAAACTGGCTGTTGATGAATTTCTTGATGCTGTCGATAGTGAAGGTGACCTGGGGGTGAATGATGCTGAAGTATTCGTTGAGTTGGATGTCCATGGTCTGCAGCCCAGGCACAAACTTCTGGATGTTGACTCCTGACTGCTTCACCCTCAGCTGTGAAACATCAGTTAATTTCAGAGAATCAAAAAACTCAGTTGAAGCAGTATTATTATGTTTTCATTTATTTACATAGTTCATGAATTTTATTTTTGCTAAAAAAAAAACTATTATATCAACTGATCAACCATTGCCCAAGTAATTCACTGCAGGCCCCTGTTAGACAAAAAAAGAGAATGAACAGGCACCATCTTTCTTAAGAAGAAGTTAATAGGAAAGAAAATGAAAGCATTATCAAGATAAGCAAGGATGGAACCGATACAACATACCGTAGATATGGCATGCGTGCAAAAAAATGATTCAGTTTTCATGCAACAGTATTAAGCCCCATCATTTGGATTTTTATGATCCCATCACCAGATGCCAGACAATATATTGTTTTGCAATGGAGTATATCATGATACTGGTTCTGGCAATTACATGAAATATATAGCCATAGTAGAAAAACACAGCATTCTCCATAAATCACTGCAATAAGTCACCAGACAGAGATTAGTCTTTTAATAGGTTTATAAATTGGTATGTAAATTAAAGGTAGTAACCAGACATAATTTAAAAAGCCTGTATTATAATTCTATCAAACCACACTTTTAATTATTTTATAAAATACATTGAATGAGAGAGATGCTGTGTGAAACTCCACTTAGGGACTAAACATATTTGCTAATCAGAAAACGTGGAGTGGGCTCGCAGGCAAGCTCTTTGGATATCATGATGTCACAAACTCTTAACTGGCATTGTCAAGATTAAATTGACTTGAACAGATGATCAGTGTTGCCTTTGTATCGTTGTAAAGCGGAAAGCGTCGAATTGTTCACACAAATAGGGATCGTGAGCTGTGGACTTGACCCTCCTAGGGCAGGTTTGTTTCACCCTGCTGATTAGGTGTTGTATGCCAATGGTATGAAGCTGGCATCCGTGGGATTACAACTGAACTTACTGCCCCGTCAAAGACGATGTGGAAGGGGAATGCGTTGCAGAAAGCTTTCTCCTCGATCCACAGCTTGCTGGGGTAGAATGGTGTGAATGAACTCACCAAGTTGCCTGAAGGAAAGTGAGACCCAGAAAGAGGACTGAGAAGTCCACAACTATCAAGCAGACATTGAGAGAGAATGATCTTTTGAGCAAAAAAATAGCCACAAAATAAAAATAAATTGCATACTTTATATTCATAGGTAAAAGAGGTTTCTTATGAGTACAGTTACAATAAAAACGTCTTTTCTTGATAATCTGAAAAGTAAACAACTTGGAATGAGAAAACATTTTTTCTTTACACAATCAGGTCGAGTCCTAATTTCTGAGAATTAAATACTATGCTCCCTTCATTTGACTTCATATAATGGGACACAGTAACCTACGGATGTTATAAGAAACTCCTGAATATTGTGAGTGAGATTATTTTCGACATGACAACATTTTAATATAAGCTTTCTACAAATCACATATTTGGTGACCTAAACCAAATGTAGAAGTCAGGACACCTTTTATTTTGTCTCTTTGAAAATCATGCTGAAAATATTTGAGAAATTCTCCAGCCTTTCTCTTGTCTATGTTAAATTAAATGTTAGAAAACACCAACCTTGTCCAAACATGACAATACTTCTCAGGATTTCCCAGTGTGTTCTTCTTCCAGAGCAATGAGGCAGTGCAGAATACTTTGCTTTCATTTTTCTTAAAGCTTCTTCCATCTCCTAATTGTGGCCCAGAACAAACAAGTCACTGGAAGAAAAACTACCAGCCTGTTGTCATTTTAGTCAAAGTATTAAGTTATCAATACGTTTTGAACTCAAGTTTGAACTCAAAGAGAGACAGAATGTCTAAAGGTACACACACAGGATGTGAGAGACAACAGAGAGTCACTTCAAAGTCATAGTTCCAGTGGGTGGATCCACTGCAGCAGGATGCAATACAAAAGATGTTGCTTTAAATCAGAACCCGTGCCAATCACAGCTATCAGATGTGCAGGCAGGCAGTGGAGGTCCTAACACTCAATTAGAAAAGGATTTTACTTCTTAGATTTAGAAAATGAAACTACAAAATTGTTATTATGGACTGTAGTGTTTTGATACAGTATTCTGCACTTGTAGAAGATCAAAACACCATAAAAATAATTAATACCTCAATGTTATACAGAGCTCTGTAGCAGCTTTTGTCATTTAAGGTGCTTTGTAACCAAGCTAATTATTGCGGGAAATACTTAAACAATGAAGGGAAAAGGCTAATGTGTTAAATTAATATTTTTTGCAGATGTTGACCTTCTTAAAACTGACAACATACCTCAAATTGAACAAATAGAAGTTCTATAATATTAGCATAGACAAGGCTGAGTTGTTATGGGTAATGGAAACACTTCCGATAAAAAAACTCTATGGCCTGATGGTATTTTTACCTGTTACACTTAATATAACAAGATCTATTAATAGACTGTTTGCATAACTATTGTTTGCATAACCCCCCTGCTGGTCTGGGTTTTCTTTCCGCCAGGTAGAGTATGTCTTCTGAATAACCAAGAAGACCTCATGCTCCTTCTTCCCCAATGTGCTCTACCTCTGTGGATTCGTTAGGGTAATATCTGGAAATATCCATCAACAAAGCCTAGTCAAGTCATTCAATAGGTCTTACTTCTATTACATAGAAGGCAATGGGAAAGATAATTGGAGTAGAACTTGAGCACAATATGTATGGCAATAGCATTGTAGGGGACAGTCACCATATACTTAGATGAGTTAGGTCTTGCTTAACTAATCTGTTAGAGTTCTTTCAACAAGCATCATAGGATCTAAGCCTGTTAGATTAAAATTTTCTGATAGCTTTTCACTTTCTGAAAGTTCCGCATAAATCATTAATTCTCTAATTGCAGGTAATAGGCATTCACTGTGCACATCACATGGATGTTTCTAAGCTCTGCGCGAAAGGGATTCTAGGTGGTTACGTAGATTCTTCTATGTCCTCATGAAGACGAAATGGGTAAGCAGTAGAAACAAACTGCCTAGGTACTGTATATAACAAAATGTGTGAGATTTAATGAAAAAATATTAATTTTAAATCTAGTGCTCTAGTGCTTTAAAGATTTTTTAAAGCACTAGTCAAACCTTACTTATAATATTGTGTATAGAATAATCATGTATTATACCACAAAAGTACATTATAGCTTTATACTATACTTTTTGGAATGGCTGGACAAATTCGTCTCACTGAGCTACCAAGCTTCCAAATGAGCCAGCTAAACCGAACAGCCTTCTTTCTTTCCTTTGCAGCTTTGTTGTGTTCTTAAATAGTAATAATGGACTGGGCTATGTGCCTACACTGATGTGGCTTGTTCCCTTGTCCTGTCTGGCTGGATTGGCACTTGTCTGCTTCAGTTGCATGGCCTTCATCCCTCTGTCATATGGTTACAGTTCTGCTGGATACTTGCACTTCTTAGCCCTTTCTCGTGTTCATTTCAATTACAATTTTCACTTCCTTTGCATGTCTTCTAAGCTGTTGCACTGCAAGCCTTTTGGCTAGGTTGTCAGTCTAGATGAAAATGTATTCTCAAAGGACATATCTGGTGAAACGTGGGATTTGATTAAAATTAATTTTGGTGTGGATGCACCTTAAAGTCCACTGTGATAACTGGCTTATCCAAGGCATTAGTCTTTAGAGTGTATGAGCCATGGAAAAGGAAGAGAATGCCATCATGCATTCCTTAAAATATTTTCTTTTGTTCGGGTAAGTTATGGCAACGACGTGACGTTTTTTAAAGCAAAGAACCACAATTCTTGGTTCTGAGCTGCAAAACTGTATTATCAGGATAGATTTGAGGAACATACTTCAAAGTGACTTGGGATCCGGTGTCTGGGAAATTGCAGGTGACATAGTCAGGTTAGCACTAGCAGCTTATGTTTAATTTTCATTCCTGTCTGACATTGTCAGTGGGTTCAGTGTAATTCAGGAAGCCCTGTGTAAATCATGCCCTTGTTGCAGAAACAAAGCATAATAATCTATATGACACATTGAGGTTAGAGGACCCTGCTGTTGTCTTTTTAATGATTGCTGAAGGCTCCTTAGAGTAAATGCATAATAAGCAATAGAAGTATGTTGGAGTTAATTCACTTTACACAATGTCTTGACAGCCCTAGACTGAATGCAGTCTTCTGTGTTTACCAACATTACCCCTTGTTCTTAAAACACTACACACTGTCCACATTTCTTGCCCTTATTATTCTAAACTGGAGAGATGGTCATTCTTAAATTATTTTCTGGCAAAACCCTGAACTGCAAGCGGCAAAACTGCAGTATAAATGGTGTTTTTCGATTGTCTGTTGTAGCTTTAATCATCACTTCTTTTCTGCATTTACATTTTGTCCTTGGTTCAGTTATGCAAACAAGTTCAGATATGCAAACAAATGGCCTGTGCAGTTAGGCTTACTAGTATGTGGTGATCATGGGTGTATTGATTTTGATGGAGCAGCAAAATAACATACTGTATGTGAAACAATTTGGTTTTAGCAAATGATACTTTTTGTCAATTAAAAAACTGACTTGGGGCCATTCATTTGGGGGGTGTTTGTTACCAAGCCAACAAGGATATGTGTAGATCTGTGGCTAGTAAAGCACATGCTGCTTTAATTTTGTACATATAAGAAGAACCTCTTTATCGTGTGTTTTGTCGGTGCTTGTGCCGCCTGCTGGTCTGGCTTTTCTCTTCACCAGGTGTGTCTTCTGAATAACCAAGAAGACCACGTGCTCCTTTTTCCCAGTGCGCTCTTCCTCTTCGGATTGGTTGAGGATGGTCATGCTGACTTGGCTGTTAAAAAAGTCTTTTGCTACCGCTTCAATTATTCCTGTAGGAAATGGAGTGAACAGAGAGTGGTATTAAACCAGAGAGTGGAGGTTATTTGAATTTTTTCCACTACCGATTTCGGGTTTCTTACTTCTTTATCACATGCGTTGTTACAAGGTCTTAGGTGTCACATTTTACTTTCACTTCCTCTGTATATTTTCATGTGCTCATCTAGAGGCATTATTACCACTTACTGAACATGGGGAGAAAATTACAGGCATAAAAACTCCACTAAAATATACCACTGTGGTACACCTGCCTAGACCTTATTCAATTTTGAAGAGAACCTTTTTGCTGCAATTCAGTATAAAAGCTTCTTTAAGCTTTTCTGATTTACAGAAATTAGAATCACAGAGCACACAAAATGACATGGAACAAGAAAAACAGACGACAAGCAACCCCTTCATTCAGTAAAAGGTGTTTGTCCAAGAATTAAAATCCATGACACCTGATTTTTACACTCATTTTTAAAACTATATGACCATGTTTTACATGTGTTTCTGTGATCTTGAAAAATAATATTGCTTTGTAAAAAATTGTGCCATCGACAAAGCCTTGGAACACAGAAATACAAATAGGTTACACAAAAGAACTATGATGCACTTGTTGAGATGTTATCAGAAAAAAAAGAAAACTCCTTTCAACTTCCACTTACTTTAAGAATTGTACTGTATGCCTTTCATCCTCCATCTCCCACCACTGCGTTCTGCTTCTTACCTGGTACTATATGACACAGGCCTCTCCTGTCAGAATAGTAGTGAAGCAGCATTTTTCCATCTTCTCTCCTCTCCACCCGGAAGGAGGGGGCATTCATTTCCTGGACCAGACAAAAAGGTTGCTTGCTGATCACAGACAAAATAGGTACAGTAAATATATCAGCCAGTCTCGAAAGGAAAAATTCAAATTTCAGATTTCAACTTTCATCTTTCAGCCAGGTCAAGACCATCTCTAACTCCAAAGAGGAAATCGTTTTCTAAAGTTCCAAAAGTAACAGTATAGTATAGAAATCTCTAAAAAAAATCTGCTGTATGCAGAGAACATAGCTTCCTTTTTATATTTCTATCAACCCCTTAACATATTACTGGTAAATCACAAAATAGATGTTACTGTGCTTCCACTGTTCTTTAACATGTAATGATAATTCTTAAATTTTCCCTAATTCTTATACTTTGGGCTGGTCAAACTGTGTCAAATATCTTGGACACCAGATTTTTTTTTATCACTATACCTCTGGTAAGATGCTTTTATGCCAAAAATCACCAACATCTTTGAAAACAAGAACGGTTTAAAAAAAAAAACTAAGGCCGCCGAAAACAATTAACCCCCAAGGGTTAAAAAAAAGGCAAAAAAAAGAATTAAAAAAACAGAAATCAAACATATGGTCAGACTGAGGGCAGAGTGTGTTAATTACTTCTGACTTAGGAAGTGAACAACAACTTTCTTTAATTCCCCCTTAAATAAGTATAAGTTTTCCCATACTAGACACTGAAAACAATTGTTAAGTTACGGAAACGTTTTCACAGTTTTTCATCCATGTTTGAAGCAAGAGTACCTGATAGGAAAGTGCCAGGTAGCTGTGGAGAGCATCAAGGTTCTCAATGAATTCCATCAGGTTCCCCCCTAGTGTGCGCAGCATTCGGTCATAGCCAGACATCTTGCAGAAGCTGAAGAAATATTCTCCGAAGAGTTTCAGCACAACTTCAGAAGACACATCTGGTGCAAGGTGGAGTTAAAAGTCTTTTAGAGAACTGCTTGGGATAAGACGTGGTCACATCAACATATATAGAGTACCTATATTCAGGAAAACGTTAGTTACTCTTGTGCAATGTGCTTCCATATAAGAATTGTGTCGAGCATTATGAAAACAGCTGGTATGAGTGATGTATTGTAATTTTTTTATCATAGTTAAGCTGTGTCAACTTGTTCTTTTTAGTGAGTTTGCCGAAAGATGAAAGTTCTTGTTATACCATTTTTTAGTTGTGGACAATACTTGGATTTTGAAGGTTTGAGAAAGCACAAATGTCCTTAAAAGACTAGCTGGGAATATCAGCTGTCCAAGTCAGATTGTTTAATACAGATGTTTTACTGGGACAGTGGTGCTTTAATGCTGTCAGTGACATCCTGTCACATTATAAACAATTTCCTGATATTCGTTGGAAATTGTCACTAACTAAAGATAAAGAAGCTGAAAAATTGGAAGCTCAGCACAGCTTGGTAAGATAATATGCTAATTTCACACACAAAAGATTCATATCTTAGTTTCAGTATGTGCTCTACTGGTCATAGGTAACTGCAATTAGCAAAGGAATATCCCCAAAAAATTGGCATAAATGGTAGAGAAGATATGAAATACAAAATCTCACAGAACCCAGAAGGGCAATGCAACAAAACCCACAGAGACAGATCCATGGTGAAGAAGAAGAAAAGTAACCCAGTTCAGTGGGGACATTGTTAACACCTGCAGCCTCAGAGGCTCTGCAGTGCTGTGCTTTCTCTCTGGTCAACCCCACAGAGAGGGCTTCCACTCCATCCTGTTTCCATTCTCCAGCCAAAGGAAACCCCACCACTGATTAACTTGCTCCCTGTTGTGGTTCGTGCCACGTTCGCCCTTTGCGTACAGGCTCTGCAAAATTAATTCACACCCCCTCGGAGAAGTTCACTGAAATCTGGGTTTAGCCAAACAAATTCATGCCTACATTTCAGTTCGTGCAACTTATTACACTGTTGCATGATTAAACGAAAACAAGAAGAATGTGAAGATGATTAGTGTTTGATAAATGAAAAACAAACATGACCCCAAATAACTGTACATTTTTCTTAAATATACAATGTTCAAAATTATTTACAGCACAGCAAGCGGCACGGCACAGATCCTCAATTCTTTGAAAACAGACAAGGTTCTTCCTGGAGGCTTTTAATAGGTTTAAGCCCCTTTCAGTAGGGATTGTTAACCATTCCTCCATCAGGAACGGCTCCAGATCCCTCAAACTGCTCAGCCTATAGTCATAAGAGGCCGTCTTTCATTCATATCACATAGTTTCAATTGGATTGAGTCCTAGAGATTGTGTTGATTGATCAAGAACATTGATTTTATGTTTCCTTAATGAGTTGGCGGTGTACTTTAGGGTCTTTACTGTGCTAGAAATTTCATGTGTCACTAAGTTTGCATTTCCTAGCAGAAGGAGACAAGGTTTTGGTTAAAATACTCTGACACACTTTGGAATCCCTCTATCCATGATTTTTAACAAGGGCACCAAGATCAGACGATGCAAAACATCCCCAACGACTTACCTCCTTGTTTCTTTTTCAACAAGACCTTTACATTTCTGTACTAATCATACTGCTGGCATGGCTGTCCAAAAACTCGATCTGTGTTTCTTATGCAGCCCCAGGGAGTTACTTGCTAATTTCTTTTTTCTGTCTTTTCTTTTTATGTACATACAAAAATACAGACCCCAGATTCACGAGGTCATACATACTGTAAAATGGTAGGTTGCGGAGGATGAAATGACAATTCCCAATTGATGGTGTGGATAAAAGTTTCTGATTTTATTTTTTTGAAAAGTCAGAATTGCTATTTGGGACTAACATTTTTATTGTTATTCCCATCCAATTTGGAAAAGGCAATTCCAGGTATGTGTATTTCACATCTTGGTTTGAATCTATGAACTTCATGATAACGCACAGAGAAGAGTAACAACGTTTGGATAGACTCCTCCAACCCACCTACCTCTGAGCCACTCATCTTCCAACATGTCTAACACAGGCTGCACAGGCTGCACAGCCCCATATTGCAAACTGGGTGCTGATTGGATAGGTGCCAAGAGGCCCAGAAGGGCTGCTGTGTTGCTAAGAGGGCCCTGGCCAACCAACCCCACCCTACCCTCTGTGATATCAAGCCTGGCTCTAACCTGCGTTTCTGGAGCACAGGATTCACCTGGGCCTTTATTTACTTCACACCTTTACTGACTGAGCCACTCAGGAGGCACCCTGCAAAACCTTCATCACCAAGCCACACTTTTTGATTTGGGTGGCAAGCATCCCGATGGCCTTGAAAGTCTTGATGATGGACACTGCAGCTGAAACATTTGATAGCCAACTCATCTTGCAGACAACTGTAACCAGTACCCTAACTTTAAACCTAATGTTAAACACTTCCTTGCACTTAGAGTGACTGCTAGCAAAATAAGAGACAAAAACACTTAGAAAGTAGAATTAAGGGTTGGATATTCATCCAAATAACAGAGCTATGCTTCAAACACAAAATTAAGAGAATAAGATTGCAAAGGGACTCATTCAGTATTTGACAATGGAAAGAAAAGGAACTTTACTCCATAACCAACAGTAAACCTGTATTTAAACCTAATTCCAACCCTATGTGATCTGATCCTATCTCTGAATCTAAACGTACTCCTGAACTCCTGAACTCCAATTCTAAACGTAACCTGAGGGTGGAGTTTGTGTTATTTTAGAACATAAGAAAAAAAGTTTAGAAATGAACCAAGTTGAAGGTTGGACTTACTGAGCATTTTACAGGCTTCTTTCACCAGTCTGAGGGTGATGACATCATCATAGACTTCGTAGGTCATGAAGGTGTCCTCAACTTCAGCTTGGATCCTGAAAAAATGAAATAAATGAAATGAAGTATTTTATTCCCATTTCACAGGACACAAAAAGGGAACTACGGGGCTGTTGATTATTACAACAGTTAATACAACAGTAGGAGCTAATAAGTACAGTATATGTAGTGTATAGCATAGTTAGAATCTGTTGAATGAAGAATTTGTTGCCATACTTCATCTTAATGAACTGAGACGCTCACAGGTTTCTGAATTACAGCAATGGTTTACAACAGAAAAAAGTTAACAGAGATTAAAATTGTAATATTTTTTGCATTTTATTTTATAATAAAAAGAAAAGAAGTAAATTCCCATTTTAAATAGTAAACATCTCAAATTCTCTAGTAAATAATTCAACCAAAAGTAAATTCCTTACTTTTGTTAGAATTATTTTAATAAATGTATGAGTCATAGAAACATTACAGTTTTTGTCTGTCCTTAAAATGTTTTATTACTTGTAATTGACCAAAAGCCCTTAGGCACTGTTCACAAGAATATTTATTTCTCTACATACCTTAATATTTACAAAAATATTCCTACAGTACACACCTTAGTTTCTCCCATGTTTCTTCACCAAATTTCTCAACAACCAGAGATTTAAGGCAGGTATTGATGAATCCATACTGTAAACAATAACAATCCACAAGTGAGTCATTAATAATATTTGTTTTGTAGGACTGAAATACAACAAGGTTTTGAAAAACAAAGTTAATATTTGACATTATTCGTATATTAGGTCTGAAGCCGTAACCTCATAATATACCTACGATATAAAATTCTGCAGTCGAAAAAGGTTGAGAGCTCATGTCTGGATAAACATTTCCAAAGGAAATACATTTCTTAAAAAATCTAAACGTGTGCATCCCAAAGAAAAAATGAGGGCTAAGTATTTAAGCTCCTGGGTATGTGAGTTGAATGCGTGTACTCACCATCCTTATGGTCCTTGTGTCCAGTTGTGCAGCTTTCCTCTTCCTTCTGTTGCTCTTTTCATTTATTGCTGTTCTTTTGACTTATATCAGTCAGCTCTGCATCTCAGAAGCAAAGCGTCCCCCCACAGACCACATAAACACCCCCAATGGGGAATGAGCTATTCTAGTGTCCAGACAGCTGTGTCGTTTCAGCCCTTAGCAAGTTAAACCTGGCCCTCTGGTAAAGGGATTGGCCAACGCACAGGTTGAGCACACCAGTAAATTGATTTTACACCTTTTTTTTTTTCCATTTCAGATGGCAGATGGTGTCCTGGCCAACAAAATCCATTCTGAACAATATGACATTTAAAATATTGTTCGGTGGTCACTGTGTAAATAGATAGCGCTTCTTGTCAGTGGCTTTCCAAATCAGTGCTAAGAAATACTAAAGCAAAGAAAATAACTGGTAAAAACAATCTACACATATCGTTACTTTATCTGTTCAGTGAGATAATTATTACACCCAAAGTTCAATTAAGAGACTTTTAAAAAGAGAATTATATTACAAGCACTTCCCCAGTCATTGATCCTCTCTAGTTTTCTCTTTTTTGGATTTGTTTCTGCCCTGCGTTTGCATTGAAGACTTAAGCAACACAAAGGTTGAGACCATAAGCTGATAAAGTGGTGTTTCATGTAATGTGGAATACATAACTTATTGTACAACTATTCCTGGCTCAATGTCATGTTATTATTCTTAAGAGGGATTAATTTAGCAAATTAATTAAGAAATGATGATCTCAAACATTTTCTAAACCCACAATTTGTAAAACTCCGTGAAAGACTGGGATATACTGCCATCTTGTGTTCAATATGGGACATTACCTTTAACAAAGAATTCCAAAGAGAAAACTAAAACGGCAGCACTGTCTAGTATACTTGACGAGCAAAACACACAAAGGTCAAACTTCAAGAACAGACCACTGCACAGAGTGTCTTTCAATTCATTTAATATAGAACTGCAAAGACCGAATTTTAACTGTCCCCCAGCTAATTAATGATTGGTGTATCATACAAAACTAAGAGAAAAATCAAAGAAAAAATGTAAGAAAGGAATATAGAAAAGGCAGCAAACATGAAACTCTAAGTACCAAATTAAGTCATTTTCAACATACCTACATTACTGTACAAAAGTCAATTGAAACGTTTCACTGTCTTCACTAATCTTCCTGTAGAAACACAATTGTATAGCATCTTCTGAAAGTGTAGCCATTGTAGTTAACAGTTAATCCTGTTATATACTGTATGTATTTTGCAGTACCAAAGTACCCATTTAGCTGTATGATTACAAAGTAGAGGTAAAAACGATTTTAATGATGAAGACTGCCTGACAATGAAAATGACAATGTGTCCGTTAGATGTAATTAGTGAATGTGTGAGTTACAATAGCTGCCACAATTTCACATTCCTAACTCATTTACAGTGAATGTTGTTGTGTTCAAATCTTTGCAGATTAGGATCAATAAAATTTATGAATTGATCAAATACAAACACTTGGTTTCTTCTTGCCCAGGGTCAGCTGTATGAATAACAGTCAAAGCTGTTATAATAGTACAAAGCAACAATGGAAGCTTTGAATAAATCACTGATGCTCATTACATACATATATTATAACTCCTTACCACGTCCTAACACCTACAGTATGCACAGCAGTGGAATTATCTGTTACCCAACAATTACTGGCACAGGTGGGTAGCTGCGTCAGCATCCATAGTCTGCAAAGGAACAAGTTATAGGTTTATTCCATGCTGAAAAGAGAAGAGAGAAAACACAACGTCTGGCTGTGAAGCCTTCTTTGGGTGGGAAGAAGGCCTGAAGAAGGCTTCACTGCCGAAACGTTGTGTTTCCTCTCTTTTCTTTTCAGCATGGAATAGACCTTTTACTTGTTCCAATTAGTGGCACATGTTCCAATTAGTTCCAATTAGTGGCACATTTGTGTCCCAGTGGAACAGATATTGCTTTGTTTATACATAACCAAATACCCAAAGATAATGAAAACTTTAATACTTTAAACGACAGCACATTTACAATATTCTGCATATTCTAAGGGAACTAAAGTGGTCACAAAGTGTTAATAATTAAAAAATAAAACAGCACGTACTAATATTTGACAAACAACTTTATATCATATCACTTTATAACATACAAAGAAGTTCTATGTTCTGTCGTTGTCTTAATTCACATAAAATGAGATACCATCTAGTGTTCTTAATCATGCATCCAATATATAGTAAAAAGAATTTGTGTTCCACTTAAATCACTTTGAAAAAAGATGTATTCAATGAGATTTTGTTTACTGCTTATGATTTGCACATGAATTACAGTTATATGATACTATTTTTTAAAAATATATATTTTCATGTAATTGATTTGAGACATAGTTATCCTGGAACATAAACCAGTGAGCTTCATCCGGCCAAACGGAGCTTACTTACTATGTTTGAATATTTTTTGGCTTAGCACTTTTTCCTGTTAGCCATAACAAAGATGTAGGACGTGTGACAATGTTCCTGACAAATGAATAAACAACATCAAAGAACATTCATTTTATTTTATGGCTCCAAGTTAACTCATAGTTCAAACAATTTGTGATGGGAAAACCGTTATTGGGAATGGCTGCGAGTCTGACTAACGTCTGAAGCTGACAACTGAAAAAATGTTTCCAGAAAGTGCACGTACTTGAAAGGAAGCTTTATATGCCCCTGAAATAGATATCTCTCAACGTAACTATGTTGTGCATTATTCATGAGAAACTAAGGAACAGTGTATCTCCCATTAGTTGGCCAGGAAACAGAACTGTCCTGTATATTCCTTTATTTTTGGTTAGAATTCTGAGGGGTTAGTCGACTGGAAGTCAATAAAATAGGTCAATAGTAATGATCACATCCAGAGATAATTAACACTGTGAGCTTCCACAGATTCCTTTATCAATTACAACTATTTGATCTAGAGGTATTTATTACCATTCTTAATGGTCTTGTTAATTCCACATAAATACTTTTCTTCAGGGCCTATTATTTCTGTTATGTACAGTATATGCAATATTATAACATAACATTGAAAAATCTGAACATTTCTTCTGAATAAACCTGAATTTTAGTGACATAACTATGGGAGTCCATTCATATGGGAACATACGGTATAATCCATCTCTGAAGCACAAACCTGATTTTTGCATTTTTGTAGATGAACATTTATTGGTTTTAAAGGATATCAAAATTGATTACTTTTCTCTTAAACTGCTTTTTCAGTGTTGTGTAGTGACAGATCAATGACTGTAAATTTTGAGCTTTCTGTTTGACATGGCCAAGCTGTCTTTTCCTGCCAACAAACAAACAACAACAAATCCTAGATTTTAATAGATTAAAAAAATAATTTAAAAAGAAAGATGAATTTTGGATTAAATGTGAGGTCACTCATTTTTATTCTTCAGTTTTGGTTTGAATCGTAGTGTTTGAAAGGCACTTTCTACAACTTTGGGTAAATGTATCGGGTTTCTCTGCAGCTTTTTTTGGCTACTGACTGTTCCATTCTCATTACTCCTTTGAGATTTCCTGCTGGACTTCTTCAGCTTTGCCTCGTCCATGGAGAACCGCCTGGGATCCCTTAGCATCCAGTTAGAGTGCAAGTCGTGGTCACTGGTACTGGTGGCAACTAGGAGGAGAACATGGTGCAGAAGGAAATACTGGATGAAATGACTAGCATTCAGCTTTTAAACAGAACATATAAATTACTTTTACACTTAACTGATTAAAGAGTTGACTTACATTACTCATTCTTACCCTTCACATGCCTCTAGAGCACTGCCTCTTTGTCTGCCTGACTTTGCTGGTTAGCTAGTTCTCCTCTTTGTCACTTTACACCACTTACTCCTGCATGCCTTACTGAACTGGTATCACACATGAAACCCACTTACTGTTTGTTCGACTCCATTCCCTTTGTCTAGTTTAGCTCCCCGGCTTTTGTCCTGTGGAGCTTAACATTATAAATGACCTCCTAGGCTCTGGCCTACTTCCAGAAAATTTTAGAACTGCTGTGGTCATTCTAGTCTTTAAAACTGCTTTGGAACAACTCAGATAGTTTTAGGCCCATCTCTGACTTTATATAAGAACATGTTAAGGTGCAGCTAGTCATTTCACTCTCAATTAACGTTGCAAACCCTTTCAATATGAATTTAGACAATGACACAGCACTGAAACTGCACTTGTTAATGTCACGGATGTTCTCCTAATGGCATGCTTCGGTAGCACAATCTGACTTTTCTTAGAACTCAGCGCTGCTTTAAATATTGCATACCATAACATTTTACTTACTCTGCTGTAGAGTTTGTTTTGTGTCTCCATTACTGCCTGTAACCACTTTAAATGTTGCCTCAGTGAGTTTCAATATTTTATTTGTTTGGTACATTTAATTCTTAGGTTGGATTGGTTACACAGGGCTCAATATTTGACCCCCATGGAATTCAATATTTACATATTTTTTCTCTTGGTGAGATACTAAAATTAAAGGGTCTGAATTAAAACTTCTATGCAGATGAAATTGAAACATATATTAAACCTCACTCCAAGATAGGTGTTTCATCACCTGATTGTATTTCTGATTTAGTGAGAAAATATGTGTAACATTGTTTCAAAATTAACAATGATAAAGGACGTTTAGGACTGTAATTAAACATAAATATTCCTTACAAAACGTCATAAAGTTCTGAAAGTAATTTCAACAAACATTACAGACAATTAGGAACACTTTACAATTTGACATCCCCCTAATTAGGAACATAATACAGTCTAATCAACAATATCCAGTTATAACAGATTAGATTACATCCTAATCTCACTTCTGTTTGCCTACATATATAAGTCTCGCACCCAGGATTTCCTTTGGTATATCTCTCTCATATCCCTCTGCCTCCCCATCTGCACCCCTGCAGCAAATTCCCTGGCCCAGTCCACACAGAAGTGAGACCTTTGGGCAATGTATCCAGCCTTGTATAGGCTGCTATTCCCTTACCTAGCTGAGCCTCGCCAAATATTTTTTACATATTGATCTCTCTCTTGCCTTCATTAGGATGTAACTGAATTTCTGAAATATTATTCTAGCCTTAAAATACAACATGAGAGAACAGACAACAGCCTTTAAGGAATGCTAGTTAAAGTTCACATCTGGAGAAAAGGCTCACTGGGGCCGTGCACACACTTGTTGACTACTTCACAGCTGGCTGGATACAGGTCAGTGAGAGTTCAGATGAGATACAAATCATTTCAAATTTAAATGACAGAAATAGGGGCTCAAGGCTGTTTTCAATCAGATTGAAAATCACCGAAGACTATACATGTATTTTGTCCTTATATGTGATACATCTTCCAGGCATTTCGAATTGGGCAACATTACTTTATTCATAGAAGATATTTATTTTGTTACTTTAAATTTCTGTGTTTATGTTATGTATTCCTCTGGAAACACTTTCCAATAGTAAGAGCACTTTACACAGATACTCATCACATTCACACACACACACACTCATCAGGTCGGTTTATGCACATCGTCTGTCTGTTTGCACACAATGCAATCATCACAGATTGGGTCCTTTTAAGAAAACATTACAATTTCAGGAGTCAGAAGTTTAGTAACAACAAAGAAAACAATATTTTAATTTTCCTGGGGATTCTTCAGAATAATACCAGATGAATAAATGCATTTGCTTGTGAAATTATTCCACGTAAGGAACAGTGAAGAGGCAATCAAAGTCAAAGTTTTATCAAGATGGATATAATAGAAGGGTAAACTAGTTTTACTTCACAGCGTTTTGGTGGTGAATATCAAATTAAGGGAATATTGGGTATATTGGGATATTTCTGTCTTACCATTTGAGAAGGAAAAGGCACAAAACAACAACAGCAATAACAACAACAACACCACACACCCAGATAATCACAAAAAAGAGTTTATAACAGAGTGGTCATATTTAGACACCTACCAATGAAGTCAACATCTGCATGTCCATCATCTGTATATGGTCTACTCTTCTTTTCTGAGTCATAACTGGCAATGACCGCATCAAAATACTCAAGAGTGTTGACTTCGTCAGGAACAGGGGGCGCCTTAGCTTTTGTTTTCGTTGTCTGCGAATCACAATACAATGAAAAGAGTGAGATAGGAGATTGTTAAAAAAATCAACGAATGCTTAATTTTGTCGACTCAAAATTTCTTTAGGAAAAGACATCCAGTTTTCAGCTGAGACCACAACTGAGATTCTCATCTGGCTATGTTAATGTGCAGTATATGCGAACTTCTCCTGTGGTCTGTTTCGGTAACTGATATACAGTATAACCCAAACTGCTGGGGCACTACCGGCGGCAATAAAAACATAGTCAAAAACTAATGCAATGAAATGACAATTACAGTACCACGTGGATATTTCAGCAGATTACCTTCTTTTCTTTCTTAGGGGATGGCGAAGAAGCCGACTTTGCCTCTGTAGACGCCGAGGAATGGTTTGCTTTGTTGACGTTGCTTTTCAAATTGTTGACGCTTTTGAGGTACTGTCTCCTCAAAGCCATTAAATCCTCCAGATACTGAAGGCAGTCCTGAGTCCTAGAGTATAACCAGACCCGGTCCTCTTGTTTATAGTAGTAAAGTGCGGTCGACTCAATACTTATGGAGCTTTTACTCCTTTTTAAAGAAGAGTCGGTCGTCTTCTGACGACTGTCTCCCACGATGAGCATCGAGGTGCTCCGCACCAACTTCACCGTACACGCTTTATGATAGAGGTCCGACTGGCAGCCATCCTTACTTCTTTGTCCGTGGTTGGGACGGAAAACGGCGTTTATTTTCTTAAACATAGAGCCTTACCGTCAGGCGAGCTCACAGCCAACTCGTTATGTTTGGAAAAACACATTCACGGCGATATATCGATATTTTCTAATTTCGCCCAGCGAAATTAACAAACAAAAATTACGCGGATTTCCAAAAGCAGTATTTTTACATGCTTGTATTCTATTGGGTCTGTTCCTTTAAAGTATAGAAATACTTAAGACAATCAAATGCAAGAACAGGAGTAGTAACAACAACAGTGGTTTTCAAAATTTAGCCCAGGCTGTAGTACTACTTCTTTGGCCTTGTGGAATTTCGCAGGTCCTTGTCCATGGTCCTGAAATACTGTTAGCGCGGGAAATAAAACGCACTTTAAATAAATAGCTAATTTACAACGACAAACAACGTCGGTTTATCCGACGTCCTCAGCAGCAGTTTTCCAAGTTTAAGCATAATGATCGCCACAGGAGCTCCTGGAAGTGTTCTCCTACATGTTGTAGTGTGCCATGGCAACAGTCCCCGAAATACTATCTGGCACAGCGTCATTATTATTGAAGAAGAACAAGGCTCGGGTGTCCTTGTCAAAGTCTAACAGATACAAACTCCCTGTAAAATTATTAAGAGCACAAAACACCATCCGTTAGTGTCCGTATCACTAAATCTGCTTGTGTCTATAATTAGAAAAAAAATAAATGAACAACAAATTAAAATTTCTCTTACTGCCAGGGCGTTCTTCTTTGGTAATGCTGTTCATCTAGTGTGGATGTTCCCAGCCTTTATTGTTATAATTTCCCACTAGTGTGAAGACAACTCAGATGGTTCAGATGTATCCTGAATTTTATAAAGCTCTTGGTATCTTACAGCTAATCTTGGTCATCTCTGGGACTACCCCATTAGATAAACATGTACTTTTTTATATACATCTGTTAAGGAGCTGTGAGAAACCTTAGAAATCACTCATATAATAAAATGCTATAAAAATACATAAATAATGTGTAGCTGATTACAAACTGTTTTTTATAAGAAACTGTGTTTTATAACATAATCAAAGTGCCCTAACATATTCCATGATTCTACTTTGTTCCAAATTGTTTAAGTGATAAATACGAGTAGTGCAAGTTAAAGTTTTCTAAGCAAATAAATAATTGAAAAACTTTGCGGCGAGCAACTTTACTTTGAGCTTTCAAACTACACTGAAGTGTAAATGTCAGCTTTTTCCTTCATAGTGGATTTGATTAGAGTTATGAAAGCTGTATCAGTCAATAAGATTAGAGTTTCTCAGTGATATGCATTTGACTTTAGTTGTCTTTTAAATATTTTCCAAAATAACCAAAAAGGTTGTTATAAACCTAAAGTGTCCATGCCTATAGTGCATTTGTAGCATAGTGTATTTGTGTGAAAACAACTCAGATGGTTCAGATGCATACTGATACTTTCCTGTATGGAAAAGCTTGAGGTAATGCCTGTTAAAAACACGATGCCTGGTACTTCAAAAATAGTGCAGTGATACTTTAAGAAACTGAGACTTAAAAAATAGGCTTACTTAAAATGAATAGAAGAAGAGTGGAAAAAAACACATTTGAAGAGGAAATGAAAGCTACAACTTAGGAAATTAAAGATGAATTCAAATGAAACCGTGGCAGGCTGGTCTTAACAAGTAGACCAGCCGCTGGAGGCCTTTAATGCCTCTATTATTTGTAAATAGACACAGCAGGTGATAATTAGTTAATTAATGAGATTATTGGTGGTGGTTCAATTCTCATTAATTCTCAATTAAGTCCAGATTCTCACATGTGGAGTAATTAGTAATGTTTTGAGATAATAAAGTGCTTCCACAGTTTAAAGTAGCAGTCTAGAGGAGTTTGGTTAGAAAATTGGGAGGGCTGCTGCAGTTAAATCTCTTGCATGCACTTTGATGTCCATTGTGAGTTTTAATGTGTATTTAATCTTTTCTTGTAACTAAGAGTGGGTCCAACTGCAGGGACACTTTCTTTGTGCGATAATTTTTCATGGGAATCTTCATGTTACTTTCAGTCTGTTCTGTGTTATTTCTGTACTTCTGAATTTGTAAACCTTTGCTTTAGCTAGAAACTACCATTGCTGAATCAGGAAGCGTTTGTTCCAGTATCTATAGATTTTCAGGAATATGTTTCCTAGTTTTAAAATCTGATTTATTTGCTATTTAGTTTTTAATTACATAAACAATTGGGTGCTGATTTGCAGTATGGTTTGGCCTGAAAGGCATACTTCAAGGGATACACTTTTCAGACCACAGGCAATTTTTTGTGAGATCCCATTTTATTCACTGCTTTTCATTCCTAGCAAAGGAATTGTATGCTGACAAATGGCTTTCCAATCATTCATCCATTTTCAAACCGCTTTATCCAATCTAGGGTCACAAGAGGGCTGAAGTCAAAATCAAGCTAAAGAGGTTTCTGTTGCTCATCAATACTTTATACCATGTATATAGTCAGCCTTTATTCTGCCAGATTTGTCTACACAAACAAAACTGAAAATTGTTCTAAATTCTCTTATGTAAAGAGCATTCACTTGAAATTAAACTACATACAAACTTTCTACCTTTCAGCTGTTCCATGTGGTTCCTGGAGCCCAATACTCAAATATGAGGACTTACTGTATATTTCCAGATTAGTTGAGTTTGTAATTGTATCTCTTGTAGTGCTATTTTTTGCTTCTTTCTACTTCTGAAAATGAATGTTACTGTTCACAATGTTTTCGCTAATGTTTAGCCCATGACTACACATCTACTACAACTAATGTAAAGTATGTTAAACTGTTAAAATGTAAAACTTATATTGTAATTTTAGCAAACTTTTACCAAGCAGAAATGTCAGTCCATACCACATTCTACTTCACTTCAAACCACCGCTAATACAAAACACAGACGCTTAAGGTAGTTCTACATTTGGGAAAGTTATTAAAATATACTTTTAATTTTATTGACTGTCCACATTACATATTGATCATCTAGCTCAAAGCTTTTTTCTGCCATAAACTTTTATGTAAACCAGTCCCATTTTAACCCTTACCATGGCCCACACTGAAATGTCATAATGTCTAAAATGGAACTAAAACTACATAAATAAAAGGTGCATGTTAAAATTTAGACTGCATGGGATTAACACAGGCTCTTGCCAGACATAAATCTCACTCTATTTTAAATAATACTATAAACCAAAAGACAACCAGGCACTAAAATGAAAGGATGATCAGGAAAACTGTACACATACTCCTTTCATATCATAGAAAACATGATATTTGTAATCCAAATGATAGTCCTGCATAGATTTAACCTATAGTAAAACTTTTTATAATTTCAGAGGTAGCCAACACCGAGTGAGTGACGTTATAGACTGTTTTGTTGTTTTATTTACAGTATATTGACTGACGGACTCCACCCCTGAAGAAGGCTTCACAGCTGAAATGTTGTGTTTCTTTTTTTTCTCTTTTCAGCATGGAATAAACCTTTACTTGTTCCTTTGCAGCCTACACGTGCTGATGCAGCTGCCTACTTGAACTACTATTGACTGACTGTTTTCTATTTCAGAAAACAAAAGTAAATTCACTTCAGAGGGGATTTTCTCTCAAGGATTTTTAAAATCAATACTTGAAGTATTTGGAGTGGGCACACTACGCAAAGTAAGAAAACTAATTTCATTCAGATGTCCATCCTGTGGCAGAGCTTGGCTGTATTATTTATTATATGCGTTGTTGATGTTAGCAAAAAATAAATGCACACTTTCCTTGGGATCACAACTTACAATGTTTTTTATGACATGGACATTGTCAGTGTTTCTTTTATTTTAAATATGTTGTTTAGTGTGTGAAAATGTAAAGATAGTGGTAAAGGTGTGCATACACAATTCTATATTTACAAGAAAATCCAAGACATCTGCCTTTCTGTTCTGTTTTTTTCCAATTCCATTCTTTGATGAGCATTAATCATGGGCTTGCATATCAATAATTCCAAAAGATTTAATAAGGGGTTTCATACAATGTATGCTGTATAACATGTCTGTTGTCATTTCATTTTCTTTGCTCTTAGAGCACCAAAAATAACCAAAGTGTCTTCACTGCAAATATACAGTAATGCCAGATATAGCTTAGATTATCTTGAACTAACATTCGTTTCATTTGTGTCATTTGAGTGTGGCAAACTAAGAGAAACTACACAGAAATAAAACCTTAAACACTTCCCTGACTCGACAAACAGAAGTGAAACAGCATCGTGGATCTGTACAATATAAAGGAGTAACTAACTTTAAATAAACATTACTCTTAAGAATTTATTATGGGTTGTGATCAAAATACCATAGACCTAAATATTATTTACTATTATATACTAAATATAATATAATAAGAGTTCAGAGATAGATTACATCATTTTCTTTAATGTTTTGTGAGTTAATAAAACAGGCTGTACCTTGCTTGTCTTATTATGAAGAATTTATTTCTCTCAGAAACCCATAAAACCCATAAAGCTGTTTAAAACAGCACTGAAACTGTAACATTGTGCACAACCCTAAGACGTTTCCTACTTCTCAATTATAAATGATTAATTGAATGTTCAACTGCTGCTTTAGCTAAAAGATGAGGAAGGATTGTTTTGTGGTTTTTTCAGTTTTGTTTCACTCTGTAAACAGTTAGACCACTGGTATATCTCAACAACAGACTTCTTCTCTTCCTTTGAGAAGAGAAGGCACAGATGTTTGAGGACAGAACTCACTCCTGAAATAGTACATTGCTCAATTCCAACCAGCCAGAGATGCAGAAGCTCCTTTTTCAATAACGCGAACCTGAAGATATTGCATCTTGGATCATTACTGAGCTTGACATTTCAGGTGAGAAATCTAGTAATAAGTAGCTTTTATTTTTAATATGCGCTTATAGAAATCATTATTACATTTGAAAAAAAAACTCACTTTGAAAGAAAAGAAGATGATAGAGTAAATAAGGGTAGGAAAAAAATGGAAAAGACTAGATATCCCTAGGTTTGCTTAAGTAATTTGTGATCTTAATAAAAAATCTGAAATGGCTTAATAGTTTAATTAAGTAGTGTCAATATGCAGGTAACTTGAAAGCTTCTTTTATGTCAGATACTCAAGACTTTACATCTGTGGAATGGTACCAAAGAAATATAGGAACATGGTCAAAGCATTTTCTTCTGTAAAATTCCCATTTTCTAAATCATTGGGCTATAAAAGCTAGCTTTGGTTGGAAGACAAAAATAGAAAAGTTTAAATCTTCAGTTTCTTCTTTGTATACCATAACATTTTCTCCCTGCAAGAATATACTAGAATTTACATTTGTAAACTGGGAAAAACACTTCCAAAGCTTTTAAGAATTACATAACTTGTATTAAACGTGTATTGAACTTGAGGTTAAATCATATCCACAAAGCTCATTGCTTTTGCAAGTTGACTAATACTACTCATTAGACTCAAATGTTTCTTTAAATGTAAAACACATATTAATCAATTTTTTTTGACAAAGAACACATTTAGTTTTAGTTCAGTTAGATAAGTAACAACATTAATTGCATTTGGGCTTATGAGGTATCTTGTTGATATGTTTTAGCATTTGCGATTTTGTCTTGTATGTAATCTTCTGATACAAAGTGAGAATAGAGGATTCACAACATACAGGTGTAGCAAAGAATAAGCTTTGGATTTAAAAGTGGAAAAATGAGTAATTGTTGAATGTAATATTATAATTGTTGCTTATTTCTGCCTGAAGCACATCTTGTTTTTATTTGTATTTATTTTCCACTTTTCTCTGCAGCTTGTACATAGTGCTCCCATTGCAAATGTTACACTAACACTGTGCATAGTCTTACTCTTGCTTGTTTTTCCATCTTGCAGGGATGTTATGTGAGAGTTTTCTCTGGGCCATTCCCTATGGCAATGATGGTGACAGGGATAACCAGATGCCTAGTAAATTCGAGGAAGTGGAAAATTATGCGCTTTCTAGTGTTACATCAGCCATCAACCTTACATCAAATTCCCCAGAGACTGAGCTTCCAAACAAGCCCAGTAAGAGCAAGAGCATGGGACGCTTCATTAAAAAGGAGTCATCTTGGAACAAAAGCCAGTCCAAGAAGAGTGAGGTCCAGCAGTGCAGTAGGCAGATATCACCTGTGGTTCATATCCCACGACAAGTGACGTCCAGCAAAGAAGCCTACCTGGTTCCTTCATCCTGCAAGAGCATCTGCAAAGATTACAATGACCTGCAAATCGCAGGCGACCAGGTAATGCCCCTCAGTTCCAGCACTGTCAGCTTCACACTGGACAGTAGTGTGGAGTTTGCAGAAGGCCCCTTTCTTCAGTCTTGTGAGATTCCTCCTGCTATGGAGACCCCCAGACCCTCGCTGGAGTACGTTCGAAAGCCCATCAAGGCTGACTCCTCCTGCTGGAGAGTTGAAAGTGTGAAGGAGAAGAGTTTTCTCCACCACTCCCGTCCTCTCTCCAACGCCATGCTCAATGAATACCTAGAGCAGAAGATCATGGACCTCTATAAACAGTACATGGTGGACAGCATGCTCACCAGCAATTCTCCCACTACCATCCTTGCCTCAGAGCTCATTCTCACCAACGTAGACCAGATAACCCAGCAGATCTCCCGGGAACAAAACATGGAGGCTGCGAAGGCCAAGGACATGGTCATCAGCTGCCTGCTGAGGGTGGCCAGTGGCATACAGTCAAGTGAACTCAGCACTCCTCAGTTACAGATATCAAGTGAACGTAGCATCAACCGTTAGAAAATGATTTCTGCCATTTTGGTTGTTTTCAACACAAGCTGTCTGATCACGGAGCTTTCTTGAAGAATTCTCCAACAAATGTGTACTTTAACTTGTAATTCTGCTTTGTTTCATCTCATTAAATCCATTCTCTTGTACATTCCAAATTGTCAAGTGTCAGATTGCACTGTAAAACATATTTTTCAGTTAAAAAAAGCATATGAATTTGGTTGAATTTGTTGGAACATTTGTCAGCAAACTCTAAGTTTGCATTTATTTGTAGTTTGTACAAATAAATCTGAATTTGTAAAAGAAAAAGTCCCTTAGGTTAAATAACGACTGTTAAAGAATTGAATGTAAAGACCGCAGGAGTTAGATGGTGTATGGCATGTTTGTAAATCTATAATAAGTAAAACAAAACTACTAAGTTGTGAAATAAGCACTGATCAGAAAAAGGTAGTGATGTTATGGCACTAGAAGGAAAACAGGAGTAAAAATTGATTTTAGGTTAATTTTTTAAGGGGCTTCTCAAGGTGTGACACTGAAAGAGACTCTTAAGTCTGACACTCTTATGCAAAGCATAACATAAATCAGAGGATTTCTTGCTACTCAGAAATAGTGAATCAGCAAATCAGATAATTAAACAGTGCTGTGGAGGGCTCAGTGGGTTAGAGGGATCACTGTGAGTTGAAACCAAACAAATATGCTAGCATCTGGTGCTGACAAATATTCTGGTACCCAGGAGATAGAGTACTTTAGGAGTCTGCAATAAGTGGGATATTCACAGAAATCATGAAAGACCACAAAACGTTTAAGGCAACGTTTAAGCTCTGGTTTAAACAAAAGCACCAAACACACAACACACAAAATCTACCAACAGAGGAAACAAGTTGGAAAGACACAGGAAGTCTGTTTTACTTTTCCTTTTTTACAAATATTTAACAAACTTGAAAACGTGGTTCTCCTAGTTGGAAATAACAAAGTCTGACGTTTCTAAAAAAAAAAAGCAAGATTGTGACATAATGGCTGCAGAGGCTCAGAAATAATTACCTTGCAATCCCAAGGTGTTGGAACAGCTCTTCTTCCCCTTAACATCTGGGTAAATTAGAGACATAATTGTAATTGGACCCTGGAC